TGACCACAATGCAGTAAGATCAGACCTCAATTACAGGAAAAAAATATTAAAAATTTAAACATATGGAGGCCAAGTAACATGTTTTTCAATAACTGACAAATCATAGAAGAAATCAAAAAAGAAATCAAAATTCGCATAGAAATGAATGAAAATGAAAACACAACAACCCAAAACCTATGGGACACTGTAAAAGCAGTGCTAAGGGGAAGGTTCATAGCATTACAGGCCTACCTCAAGAACCAAGAAAAAAGTCAAATAAATATCCTAACTCTACACCTAAAGCAACTAGAGAAGGAAGAAATGAAGAACCCCAGGGTTAGTACAAGGAAAGAAAACTTAAAAATTACAGCAGAAATAAATGCAAAATATCAAAAGGGACCACAGCAAAAATCAACAAAGCTAAAAGCTGGATTTTGAAAAGGTAAATAAAATCGAAAAACCGTTAGCCAGACTCATCAAGAAACAAAGGGAGAAGAACCAAATCAACAAAATTAGAAATGAAAATGGAGAGATCACAACAGACAACACTGAAATACAAAGGATCATAAGAGACTACTACCAGCAGCTATATGCCAATAAAATGAACAACTTGGAAGAAATGGACAAATCCTTAGAAAAGTATAACTTTCCAAACCGGAGTGAGGAAGAAATAGAAAATCTTAACAGACCCATCACAAGCACGGAAATTGAAACCATAATCAGAAATCTTCCAGCAAACAAAAGCCCAGAACCAGATGACTTCACAGCTGAATTCTACCAAAAATTTAGAGAAGCGCTAACACCTATCTTACTCAAACTCTTTCAGAAAACTGCAGAAGGGAAACATCCAAAGTCATTCTATGAGGCACCATCACCCTAATACTAAACCCAGACAAAGATGCCACAAAAAAAGAAAACTACAGGCCAATATCACTGATGATCACAGATTCAAAAATCCTTAACAAAATTCTATCAAACAGAATCCAAAAACATATTAAAAAGATCATACGTCATGACCAAGTGGGCTTTATCCCAGGAATGCAAGGATTCTTTAATATCCTCAAATCAATCAATGTAATACACCACATTAACAAACTGAAAGATAAAGACCATGTGATTATCTCAATAGATGCAGAAACAGTCTTTTACAAAATTCAACATCCATTTATGATAAATCTCTCCAGAAAGCAGGAATAGAAGGAACATACCTCAACATAATAAAAGCTACTATGACAAACCCACAGCAAACATTATCCTCAATGGTGAAAAAGTGAAAGCATTTCCCCTAAAGTCGGGAAGAAGACAAGGGTGTCCACACGCAGCACTACTATTCAACATAGTTTTGGAAGTGTTGGCCACAACAATCAGAGCAGAAAAAGAAGTAAAAGAATCCAGATAGGAAAAGAAGAAATGAAACTCTCACTCTTTGCCAACAGCATTATCCTCTACATAGAAAACCCTAAAGAGTCTACCAGAAAATTAGAGCTAATCAATGAATATAGTAAAGTTGAAGGCTATAAAATTAACACACAGAAATCCCTTGCATTCCTATACACTAACAATGAGAAATCATAAAGAGAAATGAAGGAAACAATCCCAGTCACCATTGCAACAAAAAGAATAAAATACTTAGGAGTATATCTACCTAAAGAAGCAAAAGACCTATACATAGAAAACTGTAAAACACTGATGAAAGAAATCAAAGAGGACACAAACAGATGGAGAAATATACTGTGTTCATGGATTGGAAGAATCAATATTGTCAAAATGGTTATACTACCCAATGCAATCTATAGATTCAATGCAATCCCTATCAAGCTACCAAGGGTATTCTTCACAGACCTAGAACAAACAATTTCACAGTTTGTATGGAAATACAAAAACCTCGAATAGCCAAAGCAATTTTGAGAAAGAAGAATGGAACTGGAGGTATTAACCTGCCTGACCTCAGGCTCTACTACAAAGCCTCAGTCATCAAGACAGTATGGTACTGGCACAAAGACAGAAATAGAGATCAATGGAAGAAAATAGAAATCCCAGAGATAAATCCACGTACCTATGGACACCTTATCTTCAACAAAGGATGCAGTGATATACAATGGAAAAAATACAACCTCTTTAACAAGTGGTGCTGGGAAAACTGGTCAACCACCTGTAAAAGAATGAAACTAGAACACTTTCTAACACCATACACAAAAATAAACTCAAAATGGATTAAAGATCTAAATGTAAGACCAGAAACTATAAAACTCCTAGAGGAGAACATAGGCAAAACACTCTCTGACATAAATCACAGCAGCATCCTCTATGACCCCCCTCCCAGAATATTGGAAATAAAAGCAAAAATAAACAAATGGGACCTAATGAAACTTAAAAAGCTTTGGCACAACAAAGGAAACGATAAGCAAGTTGAAAAGACCATCTTCAGAGTGGGAGAAAATAATAGCAAATGAAGCAAGAGAGAGGATTAATCTTAAAAATATGCAAGTAACTCCTGCAGCTCAATTCCAGAAAAATAAATGACCCAATCAAAAAATGGGCTAAAGAACTAAACAGGCATGTCTCCAAAGAAGACATAAAGATGATTAAAAAAATACATGAAAAGATGCTCAACATAACTCACTATCAGAGAAACACAAATAAAAAACACAATGAGGTACCATTACACACCAGTCAGGATGGCTGCTATCCAAAAGTCTACAAGCAATAAATACTGGAGAGGTTTTAGAGAATAGGGAACCCTCTTACACTGTTGGTGGGAATGCATACTAGTACAGCCACTCTGGAGAACAGTGTGGAGATTCCTTAAGTTGGAAATAGCACTGCCATATGACCCAGCAATCCAACTCTTGTGCATACACACGGAGGACACCAGATCTGAAAGAGACACGTGCACTCTAATCTTCATTGCAGCACTGTTTATCATAGCCAGGACATGGACACAACCTGAATGCCCATCAGCAGACGAATGGATAAGGAAGCTATGGTACATATACACAATGAAATGTTACTCAGCCATTAAAATGAGTTTATTTGAATCAGTTCTAATGAGATGGATGTAACTGGAGCCCATTATACAGAGTGAAGGAAGGCAGAAAGATAAACACCAATACAGTATACTAGCACATGTATATGGAATTTAGAATGATGGTAATGATAACCCTATATGCAAAACAGAAAGAGACACAGATGTATAGAACAGATTTTTGGACTCTGTGGGAGAAGGCGAGGGTGGGATGTTCTGAGAGAATATCACTGAAACAAGTATACTATCAAGTGTGAAAGAGATCACCAGCCCAGGTTGGATGCATGATACAAGTGCTCAGGGCTAGTGCCCTGGGAAGACCCAGAGAGATGGGATGGAAAGGGAAGTGGGATGGGGGCTCAATATGGGGAACACATGCAAATCCATGGCTGATTCATGTCAATGTATGGCAAAAACCACTAGAATAGTGTAAAGTAATTAGCCTCCAACTAATAAAAATAAATGAAAAAAAAAAAAACACAAAACAATCTTCTCCAAGGCCATAGTTCAAAGGGCATATATGTGTGTCATTTGTCAGTGATGTCATATTTCCCCTGTTGGGATTTAACCACCAAAACGGAATTTAAACAATATGCAAAAATGAGGATTAACACACAGTGCCCCACCTACATACCCCTGGCAATAGGAGAGGCTCCTGTTGTATTCAAGGTAAAGGCCTGGATAGATCTCATGCAGGAATAGGCCCTGGGAGTCCTGAATGAGTCATTAAACAGGGTTGTCCTTACTTTGGCTGCCACAGGTGTTTTGTCTTCTTTGATTGGGAAGACCTTTCAAAATTAATTTTTTGTGTGTTTGCTTTGGCAGACAAAATTTTTCATGGTATAGACCCTACAGGGGAAATTATATCAGAAATATATCCATATATCTTCAGCAGTGAAATTTGTTGTTTTTTATGTCCCCAATGATTGTTCTTTATAAGTAGAAAGGAAACAAACATGTTCAGTATGCATTGAATTACATTCCTTTCTATCCCCACTGCACTCCCAAGTGTAGGCGAGAAATAAAAACCTGCAGAGACTGAAGGCTGATTCCAGCACATCGTTGTGGACATTTCTTTCCCACTGATTTTTCGGGAAAAGAAAAAATTTGTTGCTAACTTTCAAATCAGTAGATTGCACATAAATATCCAAAATTCTCATTCTCTTGAAAACATGGCCAACTGGCCTGTTTTCCAGCATGGTTGAAGTGGAGGAAAGGCTGTTCCCAGGGGTCAGGGTCCAGCATGGCCACCTAGTCCTACTGTCATTTCTCTTGCCTCCTGGGGCCATGAGTTTGTGAGAACTAGACTGCTGGCTCTCTTAAGATAAAGACTACTTTTGTCTTGATCAACTTTGACTTTGAAGCCTTTAACCCAGAACCCAGCACACAGTTCTTCCTTGTACATTTGTTGGATGATATATCTTGTGGATGCATATGACATTTTTTCCATACTGAAACGAATGCAATGGAAGTACTGCTCGGCCCTAAATCTTTGATGCAGACTGGCATCACAGGTGCCCTGATCTCTGCCATTAGACCCACCACCTAAGGCCAGTTGTATGTCCCTGGGCTGTCCCTGAAGTCTTCACTTTGCATTTGACAACTTATCCTCCTAGCAATCTCTTCTCCAACGAAGACAGCAATGCATATCTCATGAAGTGGCTAGGAAGATGACATGAAATTATGAATGTTGAGTATGGCCCTTAGCTACCATATACATGATGTTCTTAGCAGATTTTTCTCCAAGTAGGCAAGGTTCTCCATCTCCCGAGATGTCCATGCAGATCAGTTAGATTTTCCAGCCAAGCTTCAAGGAAGAGATTACAGTTCAATTGTCTGTATACTGAGCAGCTTCAAAGTCCACTCGCCAAGGATACTGATGAGGGTAAAGATTTTATCGAAAGCTTTGTGTTTTTATCAGATCTATTAGTGGTGTAAAGGGGAAAACTAGGGTAGGTCAGAGCATATATAACTAGGGGCTCCTGGTCAGCACTACATGCTGAGAACCTGAACTTCCCTGAGTACTTGGAACCAGGAAAGGAGCATGAATTGGCTTGTGCTCCTCGGGCTGGTGGCCTTCTCAGATTGCATAGTCAAGTACGTATGGGGACTGTAAGATGCATCATCTTTCTTTCTCGGATTTTTCTTTTCATCTGATTATTCTTCCACCCATCAGGTTTAGATGGGAATGAATATTTCCCTGACAGTCTTGAAATTCAACCCTTACTTATTGATAAGTTCCTTGCTTTAGGAACTGTGGATCCCAAGGTTCTTGGTGTAGGCTTGCATGGTTGCACAACTCTTGTGGTCCAGTCATGACCTATTGAAAATGCAACTCCTTACAACTGTTCAGTGCACAGTCTATGCAGATGTAGGTGTGGTCCTGTGGAATGGCACTTTTCTACATTTTATTCAACAAGTCCTCTTTGTTCCCTGTTTACTTCAGTGTGTATATGTCTATGTCTACATCTCTGTATCACTATCATTTACCTCTCCATCTCTTTGGAAGTCTCTCTGAGTGTATTTCTCTCTGTGTTGTTATCTTTTAATTTTTCATTTGACTCATCCTTCCTTCTTGAGCCTCTGAATTTCCCTTGCTTGTTGCCTATCTCCTGGATTCTTCTTTCAACTCCCTCTTCTCTTTCAACTTGGAGAAAGATACACTGTTTTATATACCGATTTATATCTGACACACAGTGTGACCACAGCCAACTCAGTAACCTCTTGCATTTCAAATTGCTCCCTTGTAAAATAGCATGAGAGTCCCCCTTCTACCTCCTTCCTTGAGGTTCTATGAGAAGGATACAGTGGGATGGCAACCGCAATGCTAATAGCTGTCATTGTTGAGACTTCCTATTTACCAGGTACCTTATATCCATCACTTTATTTACCTCCAAGATATTCTATTTGGAGGGGGATTTGACTGAGGGGGAGACTGAGACACCACATGGTCATATGGCTTATCCCAGATTGCAGAACAGAACCTGTAATCAAACCTATGTCTTTGTCATGGTATATGCATAAAATTCTGATAATAATATGCCTCATATAAATGATTACAAAATACACAGGGCCATGACAACGATGGTTTTACCTGAACACTGATATCTAACTGTAGCTTCCTCTTTGTTTTCTTTGTCAAATGCTCTGTAAAGAATACCTCTAACGAGAGTGAATATCATGAGAAAAACCCACAGTGAAAACAACATGCTGAACAATTTCCTGAAGGAACATGCTTACAGGCTCTACCTGACTTCTTCTCCTGGCTCAAACATAACTATTCACCCCCTGAGAAATATCAACGATGTGAGTATTTTGGGAGGATCGTGCTCCACAGAGCCCTCTGGTGCTCTAGACTAGCACCAGGGCTCATCTGGAGGTGCCAGGTGAGATGTTGGGGTTGGGGTTTCTGCAGGAGGCAGAAACACTGGAAAACAGGGACCCCACCCAGAGGAGAACACACTCTCATCCTCAACTGTTGGTCTTTGTGACTGGGCCTGGCAATTACCAGGTGGCAGGTAAATATCCATGTCTGTGTCAAATATGTGCCATTAATTTGACGGAGATTGTTCCCTCTGAAATAAGTGAGTCAGTCAGTTACAGATGAAGAGGGAACCATCACTGATCAAATGGTAGAACCAACAGCAAAGTAATTGTGAATTCCCAGGCAGAGGAATTCAGTTTCCACAGAAGCAAGAACCACAACCATAAAAAGTTACTGAACCCATATTCTGTGTAAGTCCATAAGTATCTCACATTGTGGTTACTGCTTTTAGATTAGAAAAAGGGCTTATTTTGTCTTCAAGAATGCTCATGCTGACCCGAGAGATAGGCATATTAGTAAATTCATGTCAAATGAAAGGGTCATCTCTGTGGTTGATTGAATGTGGTCTGAGTTTAGAGGGAGTGGTTGAGGTTGATCAAGAAGGACCTCCTGGAGAAGGGGGTGCTAAGGCTGGGTTTGAAGAGACTACAGAGCTTCTCAAATGAAGGCACCAGAACTTCCCTGGGTGTCCAGTGGTCCTGGAGGTCCAGTGGTTATGCCTCTGCGCTTCCAATGCAGAGGTACCACTTCAATGCTTGGATATAGTGTCAATATCCTGCATACCATGCAGCACAGGAAAAATATATCAAATGCAGGCATCTCTGTGACCAAAGTCAGCGAGATGCACAGTGGTTAGGAAGTGATCTCAAGAGATATGTGACATCCAGAGGGAGGCATGAATGTGGGAATAGAAGGTAGCCAGTTCTGCAGTAACCCACTCCCTCCTTTTCCCTGTAGATGGTATATGTGGGTAACATCACCATTGGAACACCCCCTCAGGAATTCCAGGTTTTGTTTGACACAGGCTCATCTGACTTGTGGGTGCCCTCCATCTTTTGCACCAGCCGATTCTGTTGTGAGTACAGACACCCCGTACCTGGATCATCTTCCATTGCCCTGCCACTCTGTTTTACACCCTTGGCACCTGATGACACTTATCTCTTGGGTCTGCAGCTTCACATGCTTTGTTCAGACATCTTGAGTCTTCCACCTTCCGGCCTACCCAAGAGACCATCAGCCTTATATATGCTTCTGGGAGGATGAAGGGAGTTGTTGCTCTTGACACTGTTCGGGTAAGAGAGTAACAAATGCTGAGTCAGGACTGGCTATAGAATGACCACTGCTTGCAAAACAGATGCAGGACCTTCTGGTAGGACCCGTCCTCTCCTAACTCCCATAGATATTGGCCATCTTACCCACAGGCTCCTGTCCCTGGGGAGGCAGTGCTCATGGTGACACAGGAGCACACAGTTTAGCTAACCCAGAGAGTGGCTTGAGATGGGGACTTGCAGCTTCTCTGCCCATGAGCAGTTCAAGGTTCATTTTGCTGGGAGTGAGAAGAGGAGAAAAAAGCACTCACTTTTATATTCTCAGACTGTTCCAGGCACTTTCAGGTGATCAGTGGTTTAGTCCTGCAACAACCCCACACAGCAGTTACTCTGATTAGCTCATGAGATATATGAGGAAACAGAGGTGCAGACAGCAAGGACCTTGCTGAGGACACACATGTGGTAAACAGTGGAGCTCGACTGGCTTTTCAGGACTGAAGTTGCTGTGGGGTGTTTGGGGACAGGATAGAACTGATCTGGGGACCCTCGGGGCAGTCAAGGGCTTCAGGTATCCGGACGGGGAAACTGGAGGCCTGAGAATTTAGGGGGCCTGATAAATGAGTTCCCACTCTAGGCAGCCTTTGAGAGACCAACAAAATTTATGGCCTGCCTCCCCCAAAGTACTTGAGTAGTTTCCCCCTCTCTCTTTCTATCTCATACACACTCACACAAAGACACACATATCCCCAAAAGTGAATCCCCAGGCAGGAATTTCATAGATCACTGCAATTAAGATTGTGTTTTCAGCTTCTGTCTTCCTGGACAGATGCAGAATCCACAGTACCTTACAGAGAATGTTGTCCATCCCTGTCATTAGGTCACAGTGATGCCAAAGAGAAGGCTGCATTGCTCTCGGCTCCTTTTGCCCAAAAGGGGGCACCGAGGGCCCTGGCCTGACTCTTGGTTGCCCCACCTGTTCAGAAGCCACAAGGCCAGTTTGACTTACTCAGGTGGTGTCTTTCAGAGGGGCAGATGTTTTAAAATTCACAGCCTCTCACAAATCGAACCCAAATTCCTGTCTCAGCTTGGTCTAACTGCCTGAGTTCCACAGAAGACACAGCCCAGCCTCAATTCGTCTCTGAGGATCTAATGGCAATGCACCCCAGAGCAGTCCTATCCCCAGTTCATGTATCTGTAAGTGGGATCACTCTTCTCTCCCACAGATTGGGGACCTTGTAAGTACTGACCAGCGATTTGGTCTAAGCGTGGAGCAATCCGGGTTTGAGGGATGGCCTTTTGATGGCGTCTTGGGCTTGAACTACCCCAACTTATCTTTCACTGGAGGCATCCCCATCCTTGACAACCTGAAGAATCAAGGTGCCATTTCTGAGCTGGTTTTTGCCTTCTACCTGAGCAAGTAAGTCTGAGATGGAAAATCCATTTCTCCAAATTAGCTGTAATTTGCTTTCAGGTGTAGGAAATTTATAGAACACTTGATAAAGAAGTATCCTGAGAGATAATCTAATCCAAGATAACTATGGCCCCAGGGCCATACCTGGCTTCTCCACTGGCTTTTATATATAACGTTTTATTGGAACATAACCCTGCTCCTGGGCTCAAGATCAGTAACCTGGTCTAGGGGGATGAGTGAGGAGGAAGACTAATGGAAGGCAACAGGCAACAAGTTGAAGGAAAAGGCATTAGGATTTGCTTATGCGTTTGATAAGGAAGGAGAAGGATGGTGGGTATCTTTACTTCCTCATTAGCATTTCACTGTGAGCCCAGGACCAGCTACCCAATTTGCAGGAGCCAGTGAAGAATGAAAGTGTGGGACACAAAACAAGAGTGTGGTACCCCTTGTTCAAGAAATATTAGGCAGTTCAAGACAGGGAGAGCAGGGGTGGGGTCCCTTCTGAGTGTGGGGCCCTTTGGACAGTAGAGGTCACAGGTCAGTGAAGCCAACTCTGGGTGACCTGATCCCACACCCTTAGCACTCCCAGGCCTTGATTTTCCTGAAAAAATGACAAGCTGGACAAGGAGAGAGACAAAATGCTTCAGCACCTTGTCCTCTGTGGGTGTCTGAGCTCTCAGGCCACAGGAGGTCCAGGGCATCTTCAGAAGATATAGTGGGTGCAGTCCAGCCAACTGACTCAGATTCTACCCTCCTCTGTGCCACTCATTAGCCAGTAACCGACCTCAGTCTGCTTCTCAATCGCTCTTAGACTTGATTTCTGCATCTGTAGATGGGGATCTTGTTAGGGCCTTGATGGGTGGAGAAGCAAAGCTCTCATACAGCGATGTTGTTACCGTCCTCCAAGGATCCCCCCGCTGTCTTCTCTCTACAGAAGCAAGCCGGAGGGCAGTGTGGTGATGTTTGGTGGGGTGGATAAATCCTACTACCAGGGAGCGCTTAACTGGGTACCATTGATCCAAGCAGGCCACTGGCGTGTCCACATGGACCGGTAAGCCTCTCCCTCTGAGGGTCAGCCCAAGGGATGCTCCCACTACTGTACATGGACACAGGCAGACACACAGAAATGCATTCTCAAATAGACACAGAAATATATACATCACTCACAATGACACAGATAGACCCATAGACACATGGAAACACAGAAGCAGACACATATAAACATACACAAAGACACATATAAACATGCAAAACTTGCATAGCTAATCAGAGACACAGAAGCACACACAGAGACACATACAAACATACAAGCACATAGATACACAAACAACCCATGGGTTCATAATCCCCAGGCCTCCTGATCAGGGCTCTGACCAGGGTCCTCACAGGGTCCAGAGAGGTCTGTGAAACTGGGAGAGTGCTGCACTTGCTACCCTGTGAGGTGGGGAGCACAGTCAGAGGATTCTACAGTGTGGTGAACAGGATCAGGGAGATTTCACCAGACAGAGTTATAAGATAACCAACTGTCCAGGGCTACCTGGGACCAAGGAAGTTCTCAGTACAGATAAATGTCAATTTAAAAACAGGGCAAGTCCTGAGCAAATGGGGAAAACTGGTCTCCTTATGGAGAAGCTACCCAGCACTGGAGAGAGGTTAGCTGCAGTCTTAAGACGTGAAAGCAACTAATAAAAAAGACACCCCATATCCCTGGGCACAGAGTAGGGCAGGGGCTATAACTGAGAGAATCAGAAAGGTGGGATCCAGGAGTGACCTAAGGACAATAGGCAATAACTGATAGGATTCTTTGTAATACGCTCAGAGAAAAGCTGACCTGTCCTTTGGAGCTTCTGCGGGCTAGTCATGTATATCCTGGGCAGGGTCTCAGGGTCTGAGCTGGTTGTAGAAACAGTCCTGGGAGACACCCTCTTCCAGACGAGCCTCTGTCTCCCCCTTCTATGAGAATCTGCTGCCCCTGCAAATCTCCATCTTCACTCTGTGTTTGACCCATTATTTGTTCCCCACCAGATACAGCTCTCTGGATGCTTCTCATTATTTTCAGTCTTCATTCACTCATTGAACAGACAAACTTTGGGCATCCACTGTGTGCCAGGCACTTTAGGGAGGCAATGAGAATAAAACTCGCCCTCACATCTAAGAAGGCAGATGCACAGAAATGACACACACACTTAGTGAGTTGACTTTGGTACATGCTAGACGTGAGGAAGGGTCTACAGAGAGTGACCATGAGAGGAGATCGATAAACACCGGGGAAAGTCTTCCTTGAAAACAATACAATTAAGCTGGAATCTGGAAGATGAGAAGAACATTGCTAGTCACAGGGGAGGGGACTCTTCTAGGAAGGAAAAGCAGCTTGTGTCAAGCTACAAAAGATCCTGGTGTATTCAAGTCCTGCCTCAAGTATGTCAAGGGAGGTGCTGTGTCGAGAGCAGATGAAGAGAGTCAGGGTAAGAGACAAAGGGCTGTTTAGGAGACAGTCAGGAAGGGGGCAGCTCTGGGGAGACTCAGTGACATCGATTGCGCTTTGTCATACTCTCTCTTAGCATCTCCTTGAAAAGACGCATTATTGCTTGTAATGGCGGTTGTGAGGCCATTGTGGACACCGGGACATCACTCATACTTGGCCCAGGAAAACTGGTCAATAACATCCTGAGGCTCATCGGCGCCACACCACGGGGTTCTGAGGTGAAAGGTCATGCCCCAGGGTCACTCCCAGTCTCCACACACAACAAGGATCTCCAGGGCCAACCTCTCTCCCTCTCTCTCTAACAGCACTACGTTTCATGTTCTGTGGTCAATACATTGCCCTCTATTGACTTCACCATCAACGGCATCAACTACCCACTGCCAGCTCAAACCTACGCCATCAAGGTGAGGGGACAATACTGAGGGTTGATTCTCATACTGGAGCTTGCAGGAACCCCTGGGCTGCTGCTGAGAGGAGGCCGCCATCTGCAGGCCATGTCACACCATTTCAGATGCTGCTATCCTTGTGTCTGGGCCAGTGCCTCCCACAGAACCAATCACTTGAGAGTAAAGGGCCGTCTGGGACACTGATCATCCTGAAATAAAGTGGAGACACCACACCTTGTTGGCATGGTGGGAGTCGCAAGGCGAGGGGAACATTAAGGTCCTCAGTCATCAGAGAGCTTCAGTTCAATCTGAACCCTTAGGTGCATGAACACGAAAGTCAGTGCTAGCAGTCCCTGAAATAGGCCATGATACAAGTAGAATGGCTGGGGACAATCCCAGTGTGATGTTCCATCATAAATTAACAGTCTCCCTTCCCTTCTCAAAGTTTTCCTGCTTTGGATGATAAATTACATGGTCACCCTAGATCTCGGCTGCTTCTTCCCCTTGCTCTGGCCAGGTGCCCACTTTGTGAATTGAGGTACCTGACCCCTCTGTGGGGATATTGGATACTAAAGTGAATAAAGGGTGTACAGTGACTGCTCACCCCGGCACAAGGTGGAGGCTTCATGTCAGCCCCCTGTGGGAGTACATAGCAGGCTGATGGGCTCAAAGAAGGCTTTGAGGAAGGGAGGGAATTTCAGGAATTCTAAGACAACAAACTCATGGAGCCATATGGAGGGTTGCTTGGTTCTAGGCAACATTACACTGGATTCCATGCAAATGGAATCCCAAGGTGCTCTGCACTGGGGCACTCGGGACTTACTAGGGGTGATGAGGGCTACAGCCTGACTGGTGGGAATGGGGAACCAGAGTACGTTACCCAGTCAAGCCTGGAGTGGCCAAAGAGGGTGAGTGTGGGCCGAAGGTTTCCCAGAATTCCTGAGCTAAGTCTTCATGAACGTGTTGAGGGCACTGCTATATTTAAGATGGATAACCAACAACGAGTTACTGTGTAGCACAGGGAACTCCGCTCAGTTATATGACAGCCTGGATTGGAGGGGTTTCTTTGGGACCAGGATACATAGGTACATACAACTGAATCCATTTAGTGTCCATCTGAAACCCAGAATATTGCTAATGAGCTATACTCCAATAAAAATAGTTTTTAAATAAAGTTTCGATTGTGGGGATGCTGGAGGAGAACCTGCATTCCCGGTAGAGAAAACAAGGAGCAGGAGTCAGGAGAAAAGAAACAGGGAGTGAGGAGAACCAGGGGACACTGTTGTTCTTTTTTAAAAATTGTATTGAAGTGTTGCTGATCTTCAGTGTCACCTTAAGTTCTGCTGCACAGCAATGTGACTCAGTTATACACATAGAAATATACATTCTTTTTCTTATTCTCTTTCTTGTGGTTTATTACTGGATTTTGAATATAGTTCTTTACTCTCTACAGTTGGACTTTGTTATTTATCATTCCACTGTTTCCCCAACTCCCAGTCCTCCTCCACTCACCACATTCTTCCTCATTGCAGCCACATGTATGGGCCCTTTTTTGGTTTTGGATGAACTCTCATATCCCCTGCTGCTCATAAAACAACTTGCTACTTACCAAAAGAGGGAAATAAAACCAAGTATGGTGCTCAGTCTGGATACTGGGGGGAGTCGCCGATAAGTGTCAGGCTGACTGGTGTGTGTCTCTGACTTCCCCAGGATTCTACCGGCGACTGCTACATCTTCTTTAAACAGATCCCAGTGAGTAGATCTACAGAGACCTGGATCCTGGGTGACGTCTTCCTGAGGCAGTATTTCTCAGTCTTTGATCGAGGAAATGACAGGATTGGCCTGGCACAGGCAGTGTAATGCTTGGAGTGATTCAGGAATCAGTAAGGCCTCTCCTAACACACACTTACTCACACTTAGGGTACTCCTGCCCAGGATGCTAATGAACTGTATTTGGTGGTCTGCACACCCTATTCTCAGTAAAGAACAAAATGTTTCACTCATAATGTTGCTGAAACAAAGTGGTGCCTCTGTTTGTGTCTGGGAGTGATGTATCTATAATCAAGTCTGAATAAAAATTGAGAGGAGCCCAACTCCAATTGACTTCAAGGAAATGGGAGACTCATTGAAATGATTCTGGGAAACCAGGACACTGGAATCAGAGCAAATACAGAGATCTCAGTGACTGGACCCAAGAAATCAGAAGTCATCAGTTCTCTCTTTCTCACCCTGCTCTTTCCCTTTGCTCTTCTTTGGGGGTCTGAACCTGACAACTTTCTTCCTTAAGTCGTCTACACCTAGTGAGGGAGTCCAAGCTACCTGCCCCAGGGTTTTATATCCCCAAGGCGTCACCTAGTAAGGAAAGAAGCTCGGAGCTATCAGAGTTCAATGGTGTTCTCTGAATGACCCACCTCAGATCACATGTAGAGCCCCAGATCAGCCGTCCTTGCAGGGTCATGGGGTCCTATGACTGGGTTTACATGGTCATTGGCCCTTACCCAGCAGCACACATGATTCTCAGTTTTCTCCAGAACTACATGACTGAAGCTGGGGAAAGGCAGCCCCAAGGATAGTGACTGGGGGATGGTCTAGACATCCACCATCATGAAGAGTTCGTTATGACCCACCAACTCCACCACCTCCTCATTTAGAGGAATTCTAAGGGGTAATTAAATCCACTCTCTTCGTCCCATCTCAGATAATATTATCACTGGGCTTCTCCTCCAGGGGAGTTTGGGTGAGGTAGTTCATGCAGAGCTGGTTCCCTCTTATTCTGACACCCCAGTCACCAGCTCTCTGCCACATATGCCTGCTCTGTCCTTTTCAGTCCGACTTGGCAAGTGATGGCCCCAGTGGATTCCTGAGCCATCCCCCTCCTCCAGGGCCCATAATGCCCCTTCCTTGGCCTCCAATGCTGCTGGGGAGAATGTAACACATGTATCGGGGGACCCAGGGTACACAGAGCCTTCAGCCTTTCTGAGCTTCCTCCAGGGATGGAGCTACAAACTCTTTGCTTGGATCTGCCATGGTTAGGCACTTTTGCAGTGGAAGCATCCATTCTTTCCACCTGGAGGCCCTCAGCAGATGCCTCAGCTGAGACAGGAGGGGTCAGTGGTTGATTTCCTTTCAGATTGACTGGTTTGATCTCCTTGTATAAGCAACTCTCAAGAATCTTCTGAAGCACCACAGTTCAAAAGCTCAATTTTTTGTCTTTCACCCTTTCTTATGATCCAGAGGCACATCTACTCATGATTACTGGAAAAACCATAGCTTTAACACTACAGACCTCTGTAGCAAAGTGACTCTCTGGTTTTTAATGCACTGTCTAGGTTTTTCATAGCCTTTCTTCCTTCCAAGGAGCAAGTGTGTTTTAATTTTGTGGTTGCTGTCAAGGTCCATAGTGATTTTGGAGCCCAAGAAAATAAAATCTACCACTATTTCCACTTTTCCCTCATCTATATGCCTTGAAATGTTGGGATTGGATGCCATGAAGGTTCAGTATTTTTTTGTGAATAGTTTTTTGAATGTTGAGTTTTAAATCAATTTTTGCATCTCCTCTCCTCATCAAGAGGCTCTTTAGTTCTTTGCATTCTGCCATTAGGGAGGTGTCACCTTCATATTTGTGGATGTTGATACTTGTCCCTGCAATCTTGATTCCAGTTTGGGATTTATGTAGTCCAGCATATCGAATGAGGTATCTTACATAGAAATTGAATAACAAGAGTGACAATGTACAACTTGTCATACTCCATTCCCAAATTTAAATCTTTCAGTTGTTCCGTGTCTGACTCTAACTGCCACTTTTTGACCTACATGCAGACTTTTCAGGAGACAGTTAAGGTGATCTGGTACTCCCAATTCCTTAAGAATTTCCCACATTTTCTTGTGGTCCACACAATGAAAGGTTTTAGCATAGTCAGTGAAGCAGATGGAAATGGTTTTCTGGGATTCCCTTGTATTCTGTATGATCCAATGGATGTTGGCAATTTGATCTCTGGTTCCTCAAACCAGTTTGTACATCTGGAAGTTCTCAGTTCATGTACTGTTGATGCTTAACTTGAAGGATTTCGAGCATTACCTTGCTGGCAAATGAGATGAGCGCAATTGCATGATAGATTGAACATTCTTTGAAATTGCCTTTCTTTTGGATTGGCTGAAAACTGACCTTTTCCTGCACTGTGGCCACTGCTGAGTTTTCCAAATTGCTGACATATTGAATGCAGCAGTTTTATAGCGTCATTCCTTAGGATGTTTTAAATAGCTCAGCTGGAATTCTATCATCTCCACTAGCTTTATTTGTAGTGATGCTTCCTTAGGCCCACTTGACTTCATACTCCAGTATATCTGGCTTTACAAGTGTGACCCTAGCATCATCCCTATCCCGAATTTATGACCATTTTTGTATAGTTCATCTCGGCATTCTTGCCACCTCCTCTTAATCTCATCTGCTTCTGGTAGGTCTTTGACTTTGCTGTCCTTTATTGTCCCCATCTTTGCATGAAGTGTTCCTCTGGTAGCTCCCATTTTCCTGAAGAGGTCTATACTCTCTACAATTCTATTATTTTCCTCTAATTCTTGCACTGTTCACTTATGAAGACTTTCTTATGTCTCCTTGCTTTTCTCTGGAGGTCTGCATTCCATTGAATATATCTTTCCATATTTCCCTTGCCTTTCACTTCTCTTATTTTCTCAACTGTTTTTAAGACCTCCTTAGGCAACCACTTTTCTATCTCATATTTGGTTTTCTTGGGGATGGTTTTGGTGACCACCTCCTATACAATGTTACAAACCTTCACCCATAGTTCTTCAGGCTACCCGACCTAATCCCTTGAATCTATTTTTCATCTCCAGTATATAAGTATAAGGATTTGATTCAGGTCTTGGCTGAATTTTCTAGTGGTTTCCCTTACTTTCTTCAATTTAAGCCTGAATATTGCATGCTTCTGCCTAAGCATTGGTGGCAGATCACCACCCACCACTCCCGGTGGGTGTGGAACAAAAACACTTAAATGAGGCCTGTTGCCCTGAGTTTTTGCTTGGCAATTCACATGCATAGGTGTGTGAACTTGATCATGTCCCTTAACCTCAGTTTTCTCATCCAGAAAATGGGCACCATGATGATAATTCCACCATTTACATTGCATATGTGTCTGCTAAGAACAAGTGGTGCTGAGAGGGATTTCTGGGTCCCTGAGTCTGGAACAAATATGAATTACCTTGCCACCCAAGAAGAATGAAATCTGTTTAGAGGTCATGGCTTCCATCCCCAAGGCTAAGTATTGATTCAAGCTAAACCATCTCAATTTCTGAACCATGAAACAGAACTCTGACTGAGTCGATGCTTCTGTTTTCTGGGCTCCAACAAGAGCTAATGATTACTGGCTCAGATTACTCCCTTACAGCCTTACCTGTCAGCCTTTCCTTGCCAACTACTTCTAGTCTGAAATTGCACTGCAAGGAGAGTTGTAAGGCTTTTGGTCTCTTATCAGTTTCCCACATCTCCAGCATAACAACAAGTAGCTGTTATGGCTACTTGTCATAGCATCAACTATGGCAACCTGTACAGTCCAGTCTCAGCCTGTTAAACGAAACTGTCCCCATTTGGCCCCTCATGTTGAAATTACCTACAGTTGCGTTAGAAACCTTCCTATGCTTGCTGTTTAACGACAAAATATGTGTGGACCTCATCTAGTTTTCTTTTCCAAGCATGATTCCTACCATGCAGTGAAGTAACCAGACACTGAGTCATCTAATGATCCACAGGAATTGGCAAAAGCAAACCACCCATCATGCATTTCTCGCTTGCCCCAAAACACCACTGAAGTGATCTGCTGCAACAAAGGGATACATTCACATGTACACTCCAGAAGGGACACTTTTTATGGATTCGTTTTCCACCTAGTGCAGACTGTTTACCACATGCCTTACCCTTGAGCAGGTGGTCACCTGGTTTTTGCAGACTCAGCCCACTCCAGTTTCCTTCCACATCCCTCAGTGAAATCTAGAGCACAAACTCAGTCAAAGCTGTCACTTCTGCAGAAAACAGTTTTTTGTTTTTTTAGAAAACAATGTTTGGTCACACATTCAATATCTTGTGCTTCTTGCCTTGGATTCAAGGAACTGCACCACAGAATGGGAAGTCTCCCCTTCCACCTAAATCTTTCTCCACTCCCACCAGGCCCAGAGGCTTCACTGGACCCTCTGTTCTGATTGGTATTATTCAGTTGCTAAGTCATGTCTGACTCTTTGTGATTACATGTATGGCAACAAACAGGCTTCCCTGTCTTTCACTATTTTGTGTAGTTTCCTCTATCTCATGTCCATGGAGTCAGTGATGCCATCTTACCATCTTATCCCTTTTATCCCTCTCCTTCTGCCTACAGTCTTTCCCAGCATCAGGGTCTCTTGCAATGAGCTGGCTCTTCACATCGTATGGCCTAAGTGTTGGAGCTTCATCTTCAGCATCAGTCCTTCCACTGAATATTGCTCTACCACTTCGAAAACAAAACTCATATTTCCAGTCATCTAACAAAATTGAGGATTGATAAAGTTTAATAGAACAAGGATCTTGTCCTCTGGGAAATCCCAGCATTGCTGCCCTGCCTTTCTCTTACCATTCTTTCCACCTGAAATAGAATTGCTTCCCTACAGCTTCTCCAGCTTGAAACGGCCTGCTGACCCATCATTGTCAGCTATCCAAGAATCGTTCCTTCCTCCTTCCCCAAAGACTTCTGCCTGATCCGTGGCTGCCCTCTGTACATCAGTTCAATTCAGCCTCTCAGTCATGTCCAACTCGTTTCTCTATCATGGGATGCAGCACGCATGAGTTCCCTGTCCATCATCCACTCCCACAGCTTGCT